ACAACGTGGTAAGTGGTGAAGAAAAATATCGTGATAAATCTTGCATATTGGAGAAAAAATTGGGAAGATATGCATCCGTCAATACGAATTGGGACAGTATGGTTAAATCAATAGCTCCATAACACTAAGAAATGTAAGGTCTGTGCTCTGCAGCCAATATATGACCCAAATGTCCCAAATATTTGATATAACTTTACACTGATCTGAATTTTATTTTATACTTTTTACTGGCACTTGTTTTTGGTTGCATTTTTAATAAATTAAAGTGACTAACGATATAATAGGCCATGTAAAGGGCTGCTGTTCAAGGATACCTGTAAGTAATTTCAAACACAAGAACCACAGGTGTGGTTTAAGTAGAAATAGATCACAATACCTAAAGCATTTGTCGCGACATGCGTTGTATAATATATAAAGAAGATACTGAGATTAAAGTATAAATACATACAACGCACAAGAATTATATTAAAAATGCTTACAGATAAAAATGCAATTGAAACATGAATGTAAAATATTGACGCAGTCTCATGTTTCCGAACGCATCAACTGAAATGACGCGCCACCAATCGGCGCACCTCGTTTGAATGAAGAATATTAAACAACCGTTGCGACCTTCATAAATTTGACCAATAAATGTCAAAATTTACGTTCGAAAAAATCTCTTTTGAGTAGGAATTCTGTTGTCATCACACGGTTTAAATACTTCGCTAACGAAGTGTTAGAATGACCAGTAAGTTACTGGTCACTGGCAGTAACACAAATGAATGTACTCGTAAGAAGATTTGGTTGTACGATTATTCGAAGTTTACCGTTTAGAACATTAAACAGCTAAGAGCAGTGCAGTTTTAAAACTAAAAGTTGTGGACTGTTAATTACATTTTGTTTGTTATTTATACGTGGTAGAGCCACGCTGCAGTTATATTAGTAGTATAGTTGTAGCACGTATGGGTCGGCTCGACCGGGGAAGGACCACGCTCTCACAGAATACCAGCGTGAAATAGTAGCTTAATGCTGCTGTATTTCGTATGGTGAGTGTAGAGAACCGGAGACCCTTTTTACTGGAAACGAGGCATTCCATCTCAGTCCTCACGGGTGACAACGCATCTGCATTTTGATTTTTAATGGAGGATAGATGTAGATGTCTATGGGCCGCAGCAACCACTTACCATCAGGTGGACTGTGTGCTCGTTTGTCACCCTATTCTATAAAAAAATGCCATGCAGAGGTGTAAGCGACTCCACCCCACACCATCCCGTGCACAACGGATAATAATAAATAGGAAGTTAATTAGGAGATGGGCAGCAGCATCTTCTGATAACATCTCAACATATAAAAAAACTGCGGTTGCGAACCCATTAGCCAAGCGGGCCAACTTTGGCAATATCCCCAACATGAGACAATCTATGGGTACTGGTCTATGTTCCGCAGTGGACTCATAAAGACTGTAATGGATGGATGGTGGATAGAGTTAAAGAAATATAATTCTAGATATTAGAAAAATAATATATAATCATAGAATGGATTTTGATTATTAAACAGTACGGAAGTATACATTACATTGGCCTATTTTACGTCGTATATTTTGAAAGACTTTCAATAAACGTAAGCCCTTTTAGCACAAACAAATCTCAATTTTTCAATAATATGGCTTTAAAATATCATTTCATAAAAAACGTACTTTGGCCTTTTTAACACCAGGTCACAGATATATTCACATATATTAAGAAGCATACATAACAATGGAAATAAGTAAGATTGAAGTAAAGAAAAAATAAACTTATATATCAAAACATTTTTGTTTATGTTACGTTTCTGAACGCTTCAAAAATACTTATTTGACATTAAAAATTGCGCTATAACGATGAAACAATAAACATTTTAAAACAAAACATTCAAGATTTACATTCGCATAGTAAATCTTTAGTTTAAAACAACTAACGTACACTATTTCCTAGTGCACTATGTACGGTACCGAGTAATAACATATGCTAGTAAAATTTTATTCAACATAACCTTTATCGATCGTAAAACTCAATCCCATTATGTTTCTAGCTGCAGGCCGCTGACTTTATGATGAAATGGGAGTTTTATTTAGTACTTATATATTCGTATACAAACTTTAGCAGCACCTATTCAGCCTAGATTTATTCCAAGGCACTCTACTTACTATTGTTAGTACAAACTGCGTCTCTACCATTCGAAGAGCAGTGAAAGGGACGGATAGTAGAGAACGTAAGACTGGAATTAGACTTTACGATAGTTTAAGATGTTAGCACATTGCTACAAATGTGATTTACGTATTTTCTCGAACTCCATCATAAAGGTTAAATTATTTAAAATAACAGAGTATAATTGTTTAAGTTACTCGTAACTCGATTTAACCTCTTCACATGAATTAGTTAATGACCTTTTGTTTTAGAACCTGTATAGATCGTCTCTCTTCTTTTACTATACAACGTTAGTAAAGTAAAGTTACATCCAATACACGTCCCACAGCTGGGCCTAAGACTCTTCTCTCTTCAAGTCTAAGGGTAAGCCCTTGAAGAGGCTTGAAATGCCCGCTTTGCTTCCCAAAGGCTTATTGGCGAATGTCTTACATGTCTTAATTTTTTTTTAATTCCTCGGATTTTAAGAAATAAAACTTTCAAAAAAAGTAAAATAATCCGGCTTAAACTAAAAATAGTTAAAAAAAACCTCTTAATAGCTTAGTAAGTCGGCGTTAAGACATTTTTATCCATAAATTACTAGTAAAGCCTAATTCAGAAGCTATTATATGTGAAAATTATTTACTTTAAGTTTTTCTCCAATGGGGGCACGTTGAACGAATGAGTGAAGACCGAATGGTGAAGAAAATATATAGAGCGAAAGTAAATATTAAAAGGTGTCGAGGTAGACCGAGACTAACTTTCGAAGACCATGTGAGCAAATTGCTCGAAGAGGGGAGGGTCAAGAGTACTCGGATACCTAGACGTGCATGTATGAAGAAGTTAATGAACCTGAAAGAAGCGAAAGAGGTATGTAAGGATCGTGACACTTGGCGATCTGTTCTCTCTGGCTACCCCGTTAGGGATTGTGCGTGAAGATAAGTAGGTAAGTTTAAGTTTTTCAAATAGGTTCTCACTTTTAATAAATATTTAATTTAAAAAATTATATCACATGTTTGTGGTAACAATTAGAATGTACGTATAAATAGGAATATAGAACCTCCCTGTTTTTTTAAGCTTTTATACGTGGTAGAGGAATGCTGCAGCTATATTAGTAGTACCTATAGTTGTAGCACGAGTGGGTCGGCTCGACCGGGCAAGTATCACTCTCACAGAATACCAGCGTAAAATACTAGCTTAATGCTGCTGTGTTTCGTATGGTGAGTGTAGAGAACCGGAGACCCTTTTTACTGGAAACGAGGCATTCCATCTTAGTCCTCATGGTCGACAACGCATCTGAATTATGATTCTTAATCGAAAATAGATGTAGATGTCTATGAGCCGCAGTGGCCACTTGCCATCGGGTGGGCCGTGTGCTCGTTTGTCACCCTATCCTATATAAAAAAAACTTGGTTAATTAGACGTTCTTCATTGTGTAAGCAGTCGAAATACACAATAGAATATGTCTTATATATATTTTAGTAATTTTAGTACTAGCAAAGTTGCTACTTTGAATTTATTAATTGATGAATAATAAAATTTTCAAAATAATGGAAATTATACATTCAAACATCTTATATACATTTCAATATTTTAGCAACCTTATATATTAATATAGTGCCCTAAATATAAGCTTTAATACCACGCTCTTGTATCACATTTATTAAAAAAATAACTGTGGATAACATATGCAATAGTTATTTATAATTAGAAACATCTGCAATGGAAACTTTTAATTGAAGAATATTTTAGTAAGTAATCTAGACATTACTTACTAAAATATTCTAAAAATGTAAATATTTAAACATAATCAAAACCTACTATTAACTAAAACATTAATTGAAAAAAATAAGTACATGTATATTTTAATAATTTTTTGTACAAACACACCTATATAATTAGTATTATAATAGGTGTGTCAATATGAAAAAATAAAAAAAATGAAAATGTACTTACAAATCAATCAAGATCAACTTATATATTTGGCGTCAAGTCAGCTAAAGACACTATGAGTGTCTGTCGATTTTACAGTGCGCAAAATTTTGACAAAATATTATACAGGTGCGCTTATCGCCATCATTCAGTTGGCAGTCACATTCGTCAATTAGTGCAAGTGATATTTGTATTTGTATTTTTTACACGATTTTTTTACATGCATAGATAGCGTCACGCTTGTTATACCTTAGGGGTGAATAAGTAGGCAGAGTCCATGAGCTGAAAGCCGAAAAATATAACAGAATTGAACTGGGGGTAGCATCGCTTACACAATCATAAACCCAATATCCGAGTAGTCACCTTTTATGAAATACCGTTACAGTGTAGATACTCTAGTCCACTGCTGAACACAGGCCTCCCCGATAGATTATCTCATAGCTGTCACGCTTGGCAAGCTAAGTTGGCAACAGTAATTTTTTATTGTGGCGGCGCTGTCGTCGCGCCACAAGCAACACATATCGAGGCCTAAATCGCGCTATCAAAATTCCGAAGTAAAGCAGTATACATATATGGAATAGCTCCGAATTACCACGTGAAGCGTTGGCCACTCCTCGGGCTAAACACCTTGCCCGGCGTGAGATCTCCCCTTTTCCTTCCACGGCCAAATTATTTTAAGTCGTTACTAGGGAGACGCTGGCCCACTTTCTGATTTGTTTCCTCTTACGAAAACCACGGGACGATATGGGGCTCTTTTTTGTTATAATGCTCACATAAATATGGCACCAGATCAACACGGGACCTGGTGTTCTGCAGTTGACTGGTATCAATATACCAGAAACTACTTGTGTTCATTTTTTTAGAATAGGTAGTCTGTATCCGACTAATGCCAACGAAAATGGATAACAATTGTCACTTGTGCAGGACGAGGGGAAGCAGGCGGCGCGATGGCGTGCGCCGGCTGCGAGAAGCCGATCCTGGACAAGTTCCTCTTGCACGTGCTGGAGCGCGCGTGGCACGCCGCGTGCGTCCGCTGTGCCGACTGCCGCGCGCCGCTCGCAGACAAGTGCTACTCGAGAGATAACAAGTTGTTCTGTAGGAATGACTTTTTCAGGTAAGTTCATGTTCATGTACACTGCAGCCCTTTATATGGAAGAACTTGTTACCCTTACCATAGTGTGACAAATTCTAGACAGGACAGCACAGAGTTTATCTGATACTGTGTCCCAAAGACACCTACAGTTATCCTCCATTTAGAATCAAAAACGTCTTCAGCCCTATAGTGGCGATGTAAGAGAATCTACTCATATCACATCACCTCATATCATCGCGTGGGGACTTGTAAAATGACAGAGGAAAATAAAAACAGGGGATGAGGCTGCAGCATTTTCCTGATAACAGCTAATAATACTTATAAGGTGGTCGTTCCACCATTTGAGGCTATTTATGGGGATACTTTATCCAGCAGAGGACTTTTGGTTTATATTATGGTTGCAGCACGAATGGGTCGGCTCAACCGGGGAAAGACCACGCTCTCACAGGATACCAGCGTAAAATAGCAGCTTAATGCTGCTGTGTTTCATATGGTGAGTGTAGAGAACTGGAGACCCGTTTTACTGGAACCGAGGCATTCTATATTAGTCCTCAGGAGTGGCAACGCATCTGCATTTTGATTCTTGGTCGAGGTAAAATGTAGGTGTCTATGGGTCACACAATCCATTTACTATCAGGCAGACTGTGTGCTCGTTTGTCAGCCTTATTCAAAAAAAAAAGGATAAAAATTGTAAGCCTAGTCAACCGGTACAAACGGTCTTCGTTTCTCGTCCTCGTCATACGAAACACACCAGCAATATACTGCTATTCTGTGCGAGCGTGGTCCTCCCCAATCGAGCCGACTCATTCCTGCATAAAAAAATGCAGCGTGGCTCTACTACGTTTCCTTTCGCAAGTAAACAGTAGGAAATGGATCTTAAACAAAAGTTACTGCATTGATTCTGAAAAATGCGACTAGGTTGTTTTTCTCACTAGAGTTTTTGGTTAGATAGATGAAATGAGAACGGATATTTTTTAGTAATATCCAGATGGGCCAAGGGCAGAACTTTCTTCAGTACGTCAGTGTTTTTTATTTTATTTTGGGCTCTGTATTAAAATCATTAAAATGGAGCTCATAAGGAATAAACTTTGGCATCTGTCTGGCGCAGACGTATCTCAGAGATTATATTTCACGTAGATGATTGAATTTCGGTATAACGTGAGGTTGTAAACATAACTCCGTTAATATAAAGTAAGTAGAAAATATTATGCTAGAAAGTAATTACGTAATTTTAAACTCACTTTAAGTAAATAATTAAAAAATTTTGATTAAGAATTTATTTTCTGTTGCTTACAACAGCTTAATTTAAAGTCCTATTTTGTTCCATAAGAGGTGACTAGAAAATGCCGCAACACTTTGTGGCTTCCGGTAGATTGCAATATTACTTATTAGAGTATTAAATTTTGTGTGTCTGGCGTAAATTATCCATACCTGTGACGGGGATCTGTAGGTATGGTAGTGTTCGTCAATACGTCAAGCGTGTCCATAAAACAAATAATCCTGTCTACATGTGTTGTATGCCCAGCAGTGAAATTTCACGGTCTGATAATTTTCTTTATTAAGATCCAATATAGGGTTCTATAAAAGTTGGTTTTAAGCCGACTTAAAAAAAGGAAAAGGTACCTACTCAATTTGACTGTATGTTTTTTTTATTTGCGTTACCTTTTCTAGGTGAACTGATTTTGATGACTCTTTTTATATTTTAAATCTGATTTTATATTTGATTCCATATAAATTTGATCAAGATTTGACCAGTAGTTTTTGAGTTATCCTTAATAATGCGTATTTCATTGACTACATTGATGATGTTCTCATTTTATGTACATTGAATTCGGTTGTAATTTTTTTTTAATTTCACCACTTGTAAAATATATTGTTGAAAATAACATAACAACTTAAATATGTTCCATTGTTAGGCACAACCTCCTCATATGCTCAGAGAGTTACTATAGGACAGAAAAAACTCTCCCCCCACTCGTTTTAGATTTCGTTTTAGAACGCAATATTAGCCGATAATGTCGACAAATTTTTATAGTCAGTCTGTCCAGTTGTCCGTTTGGTGATTTATAAAGTTGATCGCTTCATTGCGGTTCGTGAGCGCACCTGTCACTAATGGGAGAGTTAATAATTTTTTAACCATTTTTTTATATACATGGTACAAATTGTTGTTTATTGTTGATCAATTATTGAGTATTTTGAAGAATACCTATATATATATATATATATATATATAGCATATAACAACTATAAATAAGAACTGTCCAGGTTACCAGATAAGTATCACATAAAATTTCATCCAAATCAAGTCGTTTAAGAGGAAAAGGAAGGAAAACTACAACTCACAGAAATACCGCATAAAATATCAGCTTAATTTTGCAGTGTTACCTATGGTGAGTGTAGAGAACCGGAGACCCTTTTTACTGGAAACGAGGCATTCCATCTTAGTCCTCACGGGTGACAACGCATCTGCATTTTGATTCGTAATTGAGGATAGATGTAGATGTCTATGGGCCACAGCAACCACTTACCATCAGGTGGACTGTGTGCTCGTTTGTCACCCTATCCTATAAAAAAAAAGCACCAAGCCGCTGTAATCAGGTGTTAAGAACTGCCTAACACCGATACATCCACAAATAAGGTTGAATTATTAATACGAACACTATACGGTAAACTATATATAATACCTATATATTATGTCTTTAGTTTATTAATAATTTTGATTCTAAATCGAAGATGAATCTAGATGTCTATGGGTCACAGCATCCACTTACCATCCGGTGGACAGTGAGCTCATTTGCGAAGCTTGTTCTGTAAAAAAATTAAATGTACTAAAGTATAAATGCATATTATGCGTTAAGATGGTGATTAACATCTGTTATTTTCTTTATAAGCATGCTGGTCTATTTTTGAACGTAGTAGAGCTATGCTACTGCTATTTTATGGTGGTAGTACGAATGTTTCAGCTTGACCGGGGGATGTCCACGCTCTCACACAATATCAATAAAAATAGCAGCTTTACAGTGCTAAATTTCGCATGATGAGTGTAGAGCACTGAAGACAGTTTTTACTGGAAAGTAGGCATTCCATCAAAGTCCTCACAGACAACAACGCATCTGTACTTTGATTCATAAATGAGGATAGATGTAGATGTCTATGGGTCATATTTCTGTTTGCTGTCTGGTGGTCTATGTGCTCGATTGCCACCTTTATTATAAAAAAACTGAATTTTTTAGTGGCAAGCATCGTATTGCAACTCAATAAAAAATAATTTAATGCCCTTACGGTGGACGTTCAGTGATCGCTTTGACGAGAAAATTAACCTGACTTTCTGATTGATGACGTGAGATGCGATGGCGTAATCATTATCATGATGACACAGAGTTTCTGGAATTGAGCCAAACTTTTAACCAGCAAAGCGGTTAATGCTGGTTTTGGTACAAAAGTTTCTGTTGACCACTTAACTAATACGTGAAATGTAAACCGATTAAATACTTAATAAAATGTAGTGATAAAATGAACTTTCAGTGCCATAAAGTTAAAATAACTTTAGGAATTGCAAACTCATATTTTTTAATTAAAGTAACAAATTAACTTACCGACCACCTGTTTGAAATTTAACTAACACCTCAATCAATAATATTTTTAATATATAAACAATTTTTAAATTCCTCACTATAGACCACCCATTGAAGATACTGGCCGTAGTTTACTATCATTTAGGTTAACTTCAATTTTATATAAAAAAAGCTCATAATCGTAGATGGTTAAATCATATGGCGCCTTAAAACAACACAAAAAGAGTAATTTTGTCGCAGGTCAGTTAACAGCGGAAAACGCTTCACTTGTGAGCTTATGACTTCCGTTGTCTTGATGGTTTAATTTCGGTCTTTTAGAGTTCCGTATCTGTTGAAAACAGTGCATATTTTTTATTATTAATTAAAAATAAGGACAAAAATTGCGTAGTTTTAAATGTGGTATAGAAAGGTTTTGGATAATCGTTATGAAATCACACAAAAACAGAATGATTTATTTGGATAAATATTTAGAAAATAGACAGACTAGATAAACGTATCCAGGATCAGCACATGGGATACCTTAACTCCGTGAAAGTGAAGGTATCTACGGCAAAATAAACATGATCGATGACGCAATTCCTTTGAACAAAAGCTCATAATGTTAGATGGTTAAATCATATGGCGCCTTAAAACAACACAAAAAGAGTAATTTTGTCAGTAATTTTTATAAAAAAAAAACAAATTTCTCCAATAGATTGGATTTTTCAGTACTGTCAAAGAATGCAGCCGTGTCATTGACATTACATCACATCAACCATCGTTTCCCTGTGTTGTCAACTGTACAACTAAAATTCATTTCCTAAATCCCATCTATACAATGGACAGATAATAGATAGCAAGGTTTGCAGATTGATAATATAGATTGGATGGAGATTCCAAAGAAATATCATGGCTTCCGTAATATATATTATATAATAACCATCTCGTTCACGTCAGACGTAAAATAATTCTAGGTATTTTACGGCACTAAAATGAAAGGTGCGAGATGTCAAAACTACGACCGCCAATCTGCCAAGCGTCGTGATTATGGCAAATCATAAACTAATGAGAAGTACTAGCGTATGCAAATTTTCCCTATAACGGGACAGGCTGTGAAGTTTTGCGAGATAACGAGATGATAACCAAAACATACACTTGCAGTAAAGAAGAAACTAATAATAATAGCAGTGATACAATGGAGGTGTTATCACTAAAACGATATGTCACGCCATAATATGTCATACTTGCAACATACGAAAGAAACTTAGACATTTATGTAGAAGCTACTGTAAGAGTTTAATTTAAGCTTTAATAGCTATTTTAATTTGAATGAAATGTAATAATTAATTTATGTAGTATGATAATACAACTTATGTAATATGATAATAAATTTTAATTTGTTCAAAGATCGAAACTCAAGAATATCACAAATATTTTGCCAGATTACTTAGCAGTAATTTGATGAGT